CCCCGCCTGCCCCACACCGCCCCGCACACACCACACGCCACTCTGCCACTCTGACACTTTCTTCCACGGTCACTGCGCCCCGCGCCGCCGCCGCGCATCTCGCGCGCCCGTTCTGTTGACGCGCTCTTGACGGTACTCTTCGCGGGACTCTGCGGGCCAAGTCACTCACACGGGCAGCAATGACACTCCGATGCGCAGAGCACTGAGTGCCCCCTGGCGACGGACAAGTGCTTTGTCTCGGAAGTGCTCCAACTGATTAAATCGTATCTTGGCCATAGTTGTGTTTAAGCAGGCGATGATGTACCTTAATACACACTACACTACAAAGTAGAAACGCTTAAATAAACCTAAGCAGGAGTCAGCTAGCTTTGCTAACTGCTAACTGTCTCGTTTGATAATATTCCACGTAAGTCGACGTGTTGCGGCATGGAACTTCCCTCGTCCCTGCCGGGGCGGTGAGGCGCTGCGGTCCCTGGGCCCCGCTCCCACCGGCACCCCCAACCTACTGCACGCGCCCGGACGCCATGTCGGCGCCCTTTTGCATAGTGATCGCAAGTTGAAGGGCCCCGACGCGACGGGACCATATTAATGCCGGCCGCGCTGTATGCCGCCGCACGGGGAAGACCTCCAGGAGCCAGAGAGCGCTCCGCGACGTTGGAGAACAGAACGGTCGCGGGCGCGGCGCCGGGTGGCCCGCAGGCACGCGTGATTAGGCGGCGACTTTTACTGCCGCAGAGGATGGCGACATGAGTTACGGGAAACGGGGCGGCGGCGCTTGTCCGGCCCGACCGGCGTTTTACTCACGTGTCGCCGGGCTGCTGCAGCTGGTGCTCGAGGCCCTGCTTCTTGGCGTCGTCGGCGGCGTAGCACGCGGAGGGGGCCAGGACGGCCAGGAGGGCCAGGACGGCGCCTAGGACGAGCATGGTGCGCGCGAGGGACGACGGCGGAGGCGTCGGCGGCGGAGGAGGAGCGGTGCTTCGCGCGGTGCTGCGCTTAGCTGCGCCTGGCAGCGCGCCCGGAGAATGAGTGGCCGGCCGGGCGATTGGGCGGCCGACTTGAAGCCACCTGCGGCAAATCGCGAGACGGCGCGGGGCGTGCGTGGCGTGGCGCGGCGCGGGGCGGCGTGCGGCGGCAGGGCCCGGCCCGAGTCCTTATCGTGTACGCACGACACGGCGCGCCCTTTGGCGCCCAGCCCAAACAGTGCGCGGCGCGGAAGGCGGCAGGGAGTCGCGCGCGGGGGCGGGGATTAAGGGATCGAAATGGCTAATCCCGCGCCGCCCGATCCGTTTTTATTTTTTACAACCTCAGTGGAGAAGTACCCAACAGGGGCGTTGTTATCGGGGTCGCGGCTGTGTATTTTTGTCTCGGTTCTCGGGACGCTACTGGGGGGATCCCGCGGGTGCACTCCGCTCCGAGCTCTGGGGACCGGCCGACTGACTGACGCGTGGGACCTCATACCTCATGGCCCCCCGGGCCCCGGGCCCATGGACGCCAGACGGGGGCAACAAGCCACACAGCTCGCTCCTCGCTCGTACCTACTCGTACCCCGGGCCCCGGGACCCCCCGGGCCGGTGTCGAAGGAAAGGGTACCTTCGGCGCTGCGCCGAGCCCGCCCGTCCCGACTGGTCCCAAAGAACAAAGTCGATGTATAAACATCCTAAATGTCCGCTTTTCGCGTGGGTGAAAAAGGAAAATAAATTTGATATATATTTTTTTTTAACAAGACAATCCAATATATTTTCACAGTCTAACGTATTTAAAAATACAACGTGTTCCAAGCTGATAGCTTTCTTTCTTTTTCTTTTTTTTTTTTTTTGTTCAAAGTAATGCCAAAGTAACTACTGGATGTTGCAGAGCACATGCCGGTGTGAGCGGATTTGCCTACTGACTCTGCCCGTAAGGCGCCATGGCCGCTGTGAGTAGGTAAAGCCACCCGCACCTGCGCGTGCACCGAAACACCACTGTCAAGATAAATACACACAAAACCTCCTGACAAGCATTCTTTTCGAAAAAATGTCTCCTGAACTGAAATGAAAGCACATTTTTACTAAACTCAACTGACCATCACAATTTGCTAAAATTCAATATTTGTACTAACATTACCTCAAGACTTAAGGTCGGCATGAAAACTGAACATTGACTTAAGGAAGAAAATTAATAGATTCAGTACTAGCTTTATAAAGTATCCCTGGATACCAGCTACCATGGAACAGTTTTCCCAGCACAGCCTTAAAATGGTGGTGTTTAAGGAGCCACTTACTGCATTTAACACTCAAAAGTCAGAGCAGTTAAACACTACTTTTTGAAAATTATTCCGTATTCAATAACACACTAGACAAATGACTGAAGAATGAAGGACATCTTCAAACCTATGCATTATTGAAGGACAGGACTAAGACTACATTCAAATGGTATATCTACCAACCAAATAATGTAGATGTGCCATGTTGGCTAACAACATTAGTTCACATTTAAATGCAACAAGGTAACTAAAATTGGGTTTTTATTTAACGGAGAGTGCAATTTATCATCCGATTAGTTACACACGTGCAAACAAACAATGTTTCAAAGACAGATACCAGCATGGATGTAACACAGCATACTCCTTAAATACTTAATGGAGACTTTGCTTAACAACTAAGACAGGTGACTCTTAGAAATCCACAAACATTACTCTTACAATACTGACCATGAATTACGACAGACTCCATATCAGAAACAGGGTATAAAAACAAATTCCAAACAAAAAGTAGCATTATAAAATAACAAGCAAATACATACGAACAAACTTTGAACCTTTTTAATTAAGGCTAACAAATTTTACACATTTTTCAGAATTCAATAGTGGGTCAATTTCAAAGAACCAAAATTTGCAAAATAAATAGTACAGGCAAAAGCAAATAAGATGGAACACATTTCTATCTCCTTGAAACCCATTTGTTTTTTAATTATTACTATTA